GATTGACAAATTCCCTCTCCCCGTCCTGGCTCTGTATTAAACACAATACATTATGGGGCAGGACTTCCCCTATTGTCTGAGCCCGGGTGTGGACCAGAGCTCTCTGTCGCCACATTGTGCTCTTTTCCTCTCCTTCCACTCTGCCTTGAGTAGCATGAAGAAAGTGACTTCACCAGAAAAAGACTTCTGGTCCCTTCACTTCTTATCTATGGACAATATTTGTTGTTGAGTTAATTACAGCACTCTGAACTGATAAGCAGCTTAAACCGGTGGCTCTATCCGGCCAAGAGATTTGCTTGGCAACAGTCACTTCTGTGGTTATTCTTCAAACATGCAAAGAGTGAAAAGTCATTTTAATATGTTTTGGAATCTAATTGGAAATATCCAACGCATTCGCATCCTAGGGCGTCATATAGTGACGCTTTTGAAAATGCGTCTAAATCCGATGCACATGGCACCATTTAGCGTCAATATAACAGACTTCCATTATGCGGAGGTTTAGTTCTGGTAGGGTTAGGGTTAGACCACTAGGAGGCGCCTTCTGGCCCATATATATCTGCGTCTCATATTGACGCTAAAGGGTGCCAAGTGCGTCGGATGTAGACGCATTGTCAAAAGCATCAGATTAATCACAGTTACATTATCACAAACCCTAAATATCCAATATGTTATTATAATGCATTACACAATAGTTTTTGTGAAGAGGGGAATAGTTTTTGTGAATAATGTTTTCATAATCAGCATAACTGTTAACGACATGAGTGAGTAAATGACAGAATGTTCTTTTTTTTGTCTGAAAGCAACTTACTTTTTCTTCTTATCTGTGTAGATGGCTTGTTAATTGTTATGTATTACAGTTCAAAAGTAGGGAACAAACGATTTTTTTTTTCATGTTTTCTGCTCACCAGGCTGCATTTATTTTATTTAAAAAAAACTGTAAAAGTAGTAATATTACGAAATATTATTTCAATAGAAAAATCCTGTAATTTATACCATCCAGTTTTCAGTGTCACATGATCAATCTAAAATAATTCTAATATGCTGATTTGGTGCTCAAAAAACATTTGTTATTTGTGTTGATTATCATTACAACAGTTGTGCAGCTTTATATTTTAGTGGAAACTATGATTTCGGGGTGTTTTTTTTTTTTTTTTACTTTAGAACAGCATTTGTGTGTTTGTGTGTATCTATAGGCCTATATGTAAATGTCATACAACCAAACGTGCAATGCATTACATCATACATTAGTATGTATATACTTTTGTATTCACGGCAGAGAGTGCAAATCTGTTTCTGCCCCTTACTGTAGCCTATGTAGGCTACTCGATATTTGTTTGCATGTGAACACTATTTATGTACAGTCACTGCACATCAACATTGTAATTTGTATTCAAATTTAGGGTCAAAGGCATGCTTGTGCTTCAAGGCAACAGCTCTTTCAAACTGCTGAGTTATAGTCCTGCTCCATTAGCAGAATCTGGCTAATGCAGTCTTGACACAATACGGCGAGTCTCCTCAGGGGCAAAATCATTTTTCCTGCTCCCTCTTTCGCACACACATCAGTGCAGACTTTCGGTGGGCAAACGGAAATTGTAGCGAGTGCAACTGTGCCACATACTCAGTCAGATGCTAAAGTGCTCACCTGACAAAATTTACAGTATTTCCTCCGTGGCTTCACAGATGTTCTGACACAGAATCATACGCAATCTGACGGGGCTAAAAAGCTGAAACAGAGAGGATCTCACAGCCACATTGTCGAATCTGTCATAAAGGCACAGGGTTGAAATAAACCATCAGGACCTGAGGCAAACACACCGCACTGTAATTTATGACCGCTGAGGCGAATGCTGACTGCCTAGTCAAAGTATAGCGGGAAGGCAAAACACAAGCTGTGAAAAGCATTTATTAACTTTCACTCCCTAGACGCTCGGAGCCTGCACTTGTGACAGTGAAATGTTTTGTTAACCCCTTTTTGCAAACGAAACAGTCTGAAACGATTTTTGCGACTTATAATTATATATATTTTACAGATATATACCAGCCATTTTTCTCTGACATGTTGAGAATGTCCCCCATACAAAATATACATTCTGTGTGATTAAATTGGAACCTTCTGGACTATGAAACGGTCCCCTCACGGCAGGGCTGGAAATCCATTTATGTGCACAGCTCGCTATGTACAATTGCCACACAAGTGGAAAAAAAAGGTATTTAAGTGCAAGTGCAATGCACAGGGACTCTTTGGAGCAGAGAGAGAGAGAAAGAGAGAAGAAAAATAAGACAAAAATGGCAAACTAAAGTTAAATCTCCCCAGCTCTGGAACTCACTCCCGCCTGACCTCCGCAGTGTTGACTCTCTCCCCCTGTTTAAAACCAGACTCAAAACCCACCTGTTCCAGCTTGCTTATTTGTAAATACACTGTTCTTGTCCTTGTCCGACTGTTTTATACTCTTGTGTTTTATACTCTTTTATACTCTTGTTCCCTGTTTTTATTTTGTAAAGCGACCTTGAGTGCTTAGAAAGGCGCTGTTAAATAAAATGTATTATTATTATTAAATCTTGAGTCCTGTTGACTGCATACTAGGAGGTATATATCCTATACTATTTATTTTTAATCGCTATGTGGTATAAATATGTAACGTTAAAGGTTTCAAGCTAGAAGTATGCTACATTTTTGGCCATATACTGTTTAATTCAGTGAGTAGTGCAGTTAAAAAAATATTTTGCATTTTTAATCCAGTTTTATCTAAAATGTCTTGCCTGATTAAAAATTAATACAAAAATGTTAATATCACTGCAGGTCACCCCTCACAAGTTGAGCCCAATGCATCATTGACAGTGTGCGTTACATTTTACATTTACTTATTATTTCACAATTTATATATTGCACACTGCAAATAAAGTACAAGTCTTATAAGGAACATTTCATGAATTCAAAATTTGAACAGAATGTTTTGCTTTCATTTTAACATCTAGGCCTATATGATTAATAAATTGTCAACATCAGTGTTGGGAAGTAGCAAACTAAGTTGCCCAGCTTCTTTAAAAACAGTGTAGATTTTACAGTAACACGCTATTTTCAACAATAATGCTGCTTTCCCTGCACAGCAAAATCCCCCTCCTCAGAGAACAATTGGTCTCTCTCTACAGAGAGTTAAAATACACTGAATCGGAGTTAAAGTTAATGAAATACTTAAGTGATTAATTAAGTGATGATTGGGCATTATTGATGAACACCTGCTGTCAACCAGCAGAATCACAGAAGGAACGAGAAACACCAAGAACAGAAAATGAGAAACACAAGAACTGATTTTTAATTAAAAAAAATGTAAATGCATAATGGGGATTTTTTTAGAGACATATGTCAAGGATCAGCATCTGAATCTCAACAATGGACACACATTGCATGCCGCAATGCATTGTCTCCAAACATGCATTGCGGCATGAAACATGTCACCATTGTTGAGATTCAGATGCTGATTTTTGATGTCTGTGTTTTAAAAAAAAATTCCTGTAATGTATTTAAAAATCAAAATTCAGAATGTGTGATCTGTGGCAAGAGAGTATTGTTAGTGAATATAAACTATTGACATCAAATAACCACTTTTGGACAGTGATGAGTTAATGCATTATTCTACTTTTTGTTGTTGAAAACTATATCACCTGATCATCTTTGTTTCTGGGTTTCGTTTGAACAAATTACGTGTTTTGGTAAAAACTATTACAAAAACCATAAACTTGCAAAAAAAAAAAAAAAAAAGAGAAAAAAGCCAAGAGTCAAACTGCCCAACTAAATGGTGATCAATTATTTTCAATAAATTATCAACATCTAAACCTCTGTAAATTCTCAATAAGACCTTCTGTGGACGTATGACAGAAATAAAGTCAATCTGGTTAGTAATAAGTGAAGCTAGTGCTGTCTGTGAATTTGTTTAATCCTCCTCTGCTGAGCACTTTTTTCCTCTTCATTTGATTTCATCTAAGGCTGTGGCTGAAAGTCAGTAGTAGTCAGTGTCGTTCTTGTGTTTCTCTTTTTTCTACTCTTGTTGTTTCTCTTTCCTTCAGTGATTCTGCTTGTTGACAGCAGGCGTTCCTCAATAATCATCACTTAATTAATCACTTAAGTATCTCATTAACTTAAACTCTGATTCAACTTCAACTCTATAGAGATTGATCAAATATTCTCTGAGCAAAGTTAATTTAACTCTGGGGATTTTGCAGTGTGTTTTCAACTTAGGTGTAAAGATTGGAGTGTTTTGATATACCTTTATTAGTTGTTTAGAGTACATTCAGATTAGAATTCACAGAACGTCCTGGGAATCAACAAACGTTAGCTGGGAACGTTTAAAAAAACGTTAGATGAACATCCAACTAAAATGTTTCAAAATATTTGTGAATGATAAATACAATTTTAATGCTAACATTTTGAGAATAAAGACCAGATAATTCTGAACAAACATTCTATTACTCTTTTTCAAAATGTAAAGTAGCTTGATAAGGTACACTTTAAAAGTAACTTCTCAACACTGATGTGCTTGTTTGTAAGTGAGTAAAATAGTAAGAGTACCACTGCCGTGGCATGATGTCAGCCTTGGTACAACGACACTTCCCTTCCCCCGCAATGGAAAAGCCAGTAACAGGAAATTATGTTTTGTTTTGTTTTTTTACACAGAATATTTTCCAGGCTCTTTCTCTTTGTTTCTTTTACCCTGTCTTTTTCCCTTTCACATTTTCTCTTTTCTTCTCTAATTTCTCTCTCACTGTCTCACGTTCATTCACAAATGACTCCTTCAGCTGTCACTGTGTGTTTGCAGGTATTCACGCACGGGGTGCATGTGTTGCACCTTATGAAGTTGCCGCTATAGGCTGTGTGACTCGTTTAACACATTTATTTTAGCTTTCTGCTGCTGGCTAGCTTGGCCAGATCTGTTGATTCAAAGCCTCTCCAGTACCAGAACTACTGCTGTGTCTCATCCACATATTAACTGTGTGTTTTGCAGCCTCAGGGAAACCTAACAGGATCTTGAAGCAGCATGGGCTTCAGAGATGCACCCATGCAAGTGCACTGTTGCGTGGACACACCCTGCCAGCAATTGACCTTTGCCCCACTGCCTTCTGGGTAGGTCTAAAGACAAAGCTTTGTGAGCACACACACAAACTGGGAAAACAACAACACATTTTGGGATATCCAGTAGCATGGAAGGCCTCAGTTTGGAGAAGCGTATTTGGTGGATTAAACAAGAAAACAATTACTTATATTTAATCGAAGGTGGAAGGAAAAAAACATTTCATTTTGATTTATAGATTTGTGCCAGTAAACTTTTGTTTAATTAATATAGCCACCATATTCGTAATTAGATGAGTATCTGAGCCTGTATCGCAATAACTGCAGGATGTGCATGTAAAGTGTGCTGTATGTGGCATGGCTGTGGTTTTCTGTGATTCATGGGTTCCTGTGACACAACAGTAGTGGTCTCTTTTTCCAAACAAACACAGAAGTTAAACAAAGTAAAGATGGTGGTTGTGGCCAAGTTGGAAATATACTGTGGCTTTAAATGTTTTCCCAAGCTTGGCCAACAAGGTGATTGATCGAAAGAGGAATATTGACACGGCCAATAACCATTTATTGCTTATTTTAACATTTTTTAATAATTACTTTGATTAATACTAGTCATGAGAGACAAAAACTAAAACTTAAAATGCTTCAGCAGGGGGAAAAAATATTTTAAAGCCTTAACGGTCAGTTTGATTTACTGTGGCCAAAATATTTGATTTTACTTTTTCTACATTAAATCAAATTGACTCTATTTACTTTCTTAGTATACACCACTGGTCTTATTGTGAATGATTAATCAGCACGAGTTATTCCAGAGAAAAAAAAATGTTTTTCTTTGCAATCCTTCATCCTCTAACCACCTGTCATATAGAGTCAACTTTTCACCATATAATCAATCCCCTGGAAGAAAATATCCAAATCCTGCCCTACTTTTTTATTGTTGAGTTTACTCTTTCACATTTACACTCACCTAAAGGATTATTAGGAATACCATACTAATACTGTGTTTGACCCCCTTTTGCCTTCAGAATTGCCTTAATTCTACGTGGCATTGATTCAACAAGGTGCTGAAAGCATTCTTTAGAAATGTTGGCCCATATTGATTGGATAGCATCTTGCAGTTGATGGAGATTTGTGGGATGCACATCCAGGGCGCGAAGATCCCGTTCCACCACATCCCAAAGATGCTCTATTGGGTTGAGATCTGGTGACTGTGGGCCATTTTAGTACAGTGAACTCATTGTCATGTTCAAGAAACTAATTTGAAAGGCTCATCCTGCTGGAAGTATATCAGAGGATGGGTACATGGTGGTCATAAAGGGATGGACATGGTCAGAAACAATGCTCAGGTAGGCCGTGGCATTTAAACGATGCCCAATTGGCACTAAGGGCATGAAACAGATGTTGTGATAGTATTTTCTTGACGTATAAGTTGAAGAAATGTAGGTTGGGACTTGATTTTGTCTTTTGTCTTCGACCTTGAACTGATCGAATGGTTGTTGTTTGCTATTGGTCAACCTCATGTGAGTGACGGGTTGCCCCGCCCTTGTGCCAGAAGAGATACGCTACAAGATGGAGGGAAGTTATTTATTTTGATTAAAGATTATTAGGGCACATGACATAAAAATATAGTGGATAAATCATATACAATAAATACTACAAAATTCCATAAACACAAGAATGGTCCTTTTTGATTTCATGGTGACTCATTTATTTTTGACCATCTGTTTGTGCAGAAATAAGACTAAAGTGTTGTTGTTTTCTGTGAAAGAAAACGAATCACTCTGAAAGTGAGAACAAAAAAAAAAACAGTGTTGAACGCTGCATGTATAAAACTAGCAAATATTTTTGAAACCATTTCAATCTTGTATTCAAGATTTGCTTTTATATTTACACCACTCGACATTATTTTTCTATCATTACATTTCTAGATCTTTAAAAGATTAATTTCTTATGTCTCAATCTTACTTTATACAATAGAATATCAAAAGCTTTAACAACCTACAATAGATTTAGTCTCATTTTGAATGCCAAAGCGTCTTTTATTTATTTATTTTTATCATGACTATAAAGCTAAATATTAAAAACTGTAATCCAGACTATATAAGTCCTTCAGCAGTCCAAATCCACCATATTCTGCTGAAACCTTGTAATCCCTCCGTGCAGTCCATCCTCACCTACTCAGAATGGATTTTTGTCATTTGTTTAAATTATTCATCGTCGTGTCTTGCCGTGCTGAATCTCTGGAGATGGCAGGAGCTGGAATGATCGCTCTGGTGTCAAGCAAATGTGGAACGGATGCTCTGATGTTTCCTGGAAGCCGTGTGTGTACCGTAGCGTTAACACGCTCCCCTCTCCTCTCCAGCCCGCTTCCCAGGGTGCACACAGAGTCTCCGTCAGACTGTAGCGTGTGGCAGATTGGGTGGACTAATTCAGGATTAATTGCAAGCTTGTTACAACAGGGCGCCCATATGGCCTCAAGCTCACTGGAGTGGCACTTTTGTGTCAAATCACACGTTTGCTTGAGGAAAAGGGAGGTTGCTGTCGGGCTGAGTCGTGTTTCACGATTCTGTCGAATCGGCAGAAACATCCAAAATCCTGCTGGCATGTTACATGGATCTTGCTGAATTTCCAGCGGCAGTTCCGCAAGATTGAAAGGGACGTGATTGAACATTATGCTCAGGCAAAGAATTGCTCACAATGGAGAGTGATAGGTTACATTGTGTATTCAATCAGAAATCGAAGACGTTCAAGATGAGGGAATTCATGAGTGTGTGAAAGGCATTTAAGCCTGTTTAGAGTCAATGTCACACAGATGTTCAGGATGAGATCCGTTCCTCAGCAGTAGAAAGCCATTAGAATCAAAAGCTCCCTGAATGCTTGTTAACTCCACAGTCATAAATCCATGATCCGATTCAAATTTACAGAAACAATGCCTTCATGATCTATATTTCACTCAAGAGGCCACTTTTGTATCAAAATGTTTCAACGATGATCAGATTTGGCTTTTAGCAAGAGACAGTTCACTCAAATGATTGCTATTCCATTGCAGTTCCTCTTCGCTCAATGCAAATTTAGAATTTAGTAATTGCCTGCAAATTATCCAGAGTTTCATTTTACTCATTGTTTTGACAGTTCTATACTTATTTTGGACATTGAATATTGGATGTGATATTTAACCTGGTTGGCTAAAGGCTCGTGCAACAGAGACAATAAAGTCGTTACTTTGCAATGACATATATTAGAAGAAGTGTGCTCCAGATGTAAACCTTTCCATTCTGTAATATTTTACCCGTCACAAAAAAGAAACTTCAAATCATAATGGAAACTTGAAAAAATGGTGATCATTTGCAACAGATGTTTGCATAGCGGATTCCATCTGTTAGTTTTTTCATCAAAACATACCGGGAAACTTTAGCAGGCTCTCTAATTCAATTACAGAGTGGCAAACAAAAGGTTTGCAGTGTTGTAAGAACAAATGCTCAAAGGTGTCATCTTCTTTTGTGGTCCACACACTTCCAATTAGCTGCTTCTATTTGGGTGTGAAATCTACTAGCAAGAGCGATTTACCGAGCAAGTGACAACAGACAAACCAGTTGGCTGCGAGGACCGAAATGAAGGTGGCAGGAGGACTGTTTGTGGTGTGTGCCGTAAGGCTCTCACAGCAGGTTTGGCTCTCACCTGTTTTCCTGCGAACATTTCACACTTCTCTGCAAAGCTAGTCTCTCTATTGAGGTTTGATCTAGGGACTTTGTTCTTGTATTAGCTGTTTATATTTCATCTTTTTTTTTTTTTCTGAAGAGTGTAAGTTCTTTCTTGTGCAAATTTCGCCTACCGCACTGTTGAATTTGGCCTAACATATTTCCCAATATAGTCTTTTTTGTTGTGTTCTGAATGGTTTCTAGGGCATTCCGATGGTTTCTAGGGTGTTCTGGGGGAGTCTTGCTATAGTTTACAGCCAAGTAAGAAAAAAATGTAAAAACTGCTTTAGTGCATATCTTAGGTGATTTTTCAAACCAGGCTCTTTAGAGAAAAACAAAGGAAATGGACCCTTCCATTTCTGCAAAATTATATCACATTGCTTCTTGTACCTTTTCCAACACGTTCAAAGTGAAATTTTCAGTGAGTGGAGCTAAAAGATGATGTTTTAAATCGTACTACATTAAATCCTACCCTAAACCTAATCGACCTAATCGTTTTGCACTATGTTCCCTTGAACCATTGTGAAATGCGAAATTGTCTTGTATAAAATTTTGGGGGGAGCGCTAATAAGCTCTTTTGCTTCGGCTCTCTCCTTTTGAGCAGAATGGTTACTGCTCAAATAAAAATAAAAATAAATAAAAATAGTCTTAAAGGTCTAGTTCACCCAAAAATGAAATGTTAGCCTCATGTTAGTACTTTCGTTCATCTTCGGAACACATAATAAAGATATTTTTGATGAAATCTGAGAGCTTTATGTCACTCCAACTACGCAACTACCACTTTGATGCTTTAAAAAGTTCATAAAACAATTGTAAAAGTAATTCATATGAATTGAGCAGTTTCGTCCACATTTTCTGAATAGACACGATAACTTTATGATGAACAGATTTAATTCATTCACAGTATAAACATTCATGAACCCACACCTCAGTTGTGGTAAACGGAAGCTAAAGTATGTTCGCCAATGAGGTTCATTTTCATGTTGCGCATCACGTTTGAGCTTCAGCAAGAACCAATGAGGTTTGTTCTCATGTTACGCATCACATTTGAGCTTCAGCAAGAGCCAATGAGGTTCATTCTCGTGTTACGCAGCACGTTTGAGCTTCAGCAAGAACCAATGAGGTTCATTCTCGTGTTACGTATCACATTTGAGCTTCAGCAAGGACCAATGAGGTTTGTTCTCACACTTTAAGCAGGTTCGGTCGAGCTTCTGTTTATATTCGCTGATCAATGTTCATATATGAATAAAAGCTTAAATTCAATCTGTTCATCAAATAAAAGCAATACAGTCTCTTCAGGAAATTTGGACTAAACCGTTCAATTCATATGGATTAGCTTTACATCACTTTCTGAACTTTTTGAAGCGTCAAATTATTGCATATCGGTCTATGGAGGGACAGAAAGCTTCCTTTTTGTGAAAAGGAATAAATGTTGTTGGTGTTTTCCTGCCATTAGTGTTTATTTCAGCTGGAAACTTCGGTGAATTGTGTGTGGGTACATCTTGAACCAAAGATTTTTGCTATATTCACGTTTTTTATTGAGCCTATGTTGAGTTTTTTTTTTCTGTAAGCCCTATAAATTGCTGCGAAAAGTAATCGCATATCCTCCAAAAAAGTGTTGAGATATTCATGTGAGGCACAAATAATGCATCACAATTAATTTCTCAATACTAAGAAAATATTTAGTATTGAGGCTCGTCCGTCGACGGACGGACGGAGATAGATAGATAGATAGATAGATAGATAGATGGATGGATGGATGGATGGATGGAGGATGGATGGATGGATGGATGGATGGATGGATGGATGGATGGATGGATGGATGGATGGATGGATGGATGGATGGATGGATGGATGGATGGATGGATGGATGGATGGATGGATGGATGGATGGATGGATGGATGGATGGATGGATAGATAGATAGATAGATAGATAGATAGATAGATAGATAGATAGATAGATAGATAGATAGATAGATAGATAGAGGAACAAAAGTTTGATTGTTTCCTTGGCTGTCTAATTAAATATTCATCCCCTTCTGTCTCATTCTCCATAATGATCTGTAACAAAATGCAATCAGATGGCGTTCTAAACCCTGTTTTGTGAAAGTCCTGTGCGGGTTACGAGGTCAAGGTTCAGCTACGAGGGGTTGAACTCAGCTAATTGTCTCCCTAGAATGAGGTCTACATCTCTTTCAAACTGCTTTCATTGAGTCACGTTTTGAATTGGGTGCTTTGACTAACTTTACAAAGACTAAATTACAGACACCGTGAATGAAAGCGGCAGATACTTAAAATATAAAAAAAAGGCCTCCAGACAGGGATGTCACATCACAGATTGAACAGAAGGGGAACTCCACACCCTTGGGCCAAAGTCTTTCTAGTGCCAAATAAACGACAGACCGCACATCTGGCTGTCAATGTGCGTTCCTTTCAGCTGAATGTTGGTTTGCTTTTACTGGGTGGTGGTGGAACAAATGTAGAAGTATTTCCAGTTTTAACACTGGTTGCTGCTTTATTACCGGCATACGCAAAGCTCCTTGAAAGAAAACTAGTTTTTTGACCTTCAATCCATTGGCGTGACATGCCGGAAAGGCAATGAGATTTAATCGAGCTATTAACCCCGTGCCCTGAGCATTAAGTGTAGCTGAGGTCGAAAATGGACGTGTTTTTTAAATGTTTTCACACACTTTATTAAAACTCCATGTTGCTGGATGCACCGAGCCGTGGCAGCAATGACTAGAAAGTGAGAAATGAGATGAAGGCACAATCAAAAAGGTGACGCTGAGGCCTCGGTGGGACTGTTAGTCATCTGCTTGGGTGAGGATGGTGTGTGTGTGTGTGTGTGTGTGTTGGGGGGGAGGGGGCGCTTGGATGACAGACAGAGGAGGCGTTCCACCTTTTCTTCTCCATTACTTTAATTGTTTCCAAACCATTTGGCCTTGAACGTGCGCTAGTCTATACTCAGCACACATGCTTCAACCACACTTAACATTCCTCGGTGCACAAGCCCTTAATCTTTCCTCCACTTTCCCTGTCACTTGAATGTAAGGAGGGTGATATATGGCGTTGAGAGACACTGAAATTTCGGGTAACTTTGAAGGCATCATCCGCAGGCACTGTGTCTGCAGGTCTGAGTGATTGCTTTTGTCTTTCGTGCTCACCAGCTTATTGCTTCCAATATAATATTGGAATATTGCATCTTGCGTGGCACTTCATAAAGTGTCTGGATATTTTTCAGCGTATGTCATGCAGAATGTTTTTATGTATGGCCATGAATTAAGAATTTGTTTCCATGACTAAATTCGTGACCATGTTGTATTACTGTAATTTGTTCCCTCGTTTTAGGTCATTTGTGGCCACTTTGAACAAATTCGTCCCCTTGTTTGGTCACGATTGAACTAAAAAAATAGGAAACTAAGTAGTACAACGTGGCCATGATTTACCTAAACCAAATCAATAAGTTGTGGGAACAAATTCTTAAAGGGATAGTTCACCCAAAAATGAAAATTTTGTCAGTATTTATTTACTCACCCTCATGTTGTTCCAACTCCGTAAGACCTTCGTTCATCTTCAGAACACGAATTAAGATATTTTTGATGAAATCTGAGAGCCGGATCACTCCTTCATATTAGTCCATAGGCTTCTTGAGGGATTGAAACTTGCTGGTCTCGAAAAGTTATTAAAGACATTGTTAAAATAGTCCAAGTGACTACATTGGCTCAATCTTAAGTTTATCAAACGACGAGAACACTTTTTGTGCGCAAAAAAACAACAAAAATAACGACTTTGTCAACTATTCATTTACTTCTCTCTCTGCCTCGAGTCAGGTTACTAGTTTAAAGGGATAGTTCACTTTGAAATTAATTTTTGATATGTTTTATCTTACCTCAAGGGCATCCAAGATGTAGGTGTCTTTGTTTCCACAGTATTTTCAATTTTGACATTTTTCAGTCAAACCGGTGTTGTCTATCAGTCAACATGGCATACATAATATATAATAATGGCATATATATATAATATATAAATATATAATGGCATAAATGCTACGTGGGATCTCAATATCTCAGCTCTGGAAGGGTCTAGAGTCTCCATTTTTGCACTCAGGTCTAAGTCCCATGGCCCTCTCTCAGAATCCAGAGTTTCAAGAAGATTGGAGAGACTTGTTTTTTCGCACACACAAAAAAAAAATGACAGGGGTAACACTGTCGGGTTTTTTTTCCGTTTTTTTGGTCGAAATTTTGAGTTTCTCTGATTTTCTTGAAACTCTGGATTCTGATAGAGGGCCATGAGACTTAGAGCTGAGTGCAAAAATGAAGGTTGTAGACCCTTCCAGAGCTGAGATATTGAGATCCCACATAACATTAACCATTATAAATATTTCAATATCTCAGCTCTGGAAGGGTCTAGAGCCTCCATTTTTGCACTCAGGTCTAAATCTCATGACCCTCTATCAGAATCCAGAGTTTCAAGAAGATTGGAGAAACTTATTTTTTCACACACACACAAAAAAAAACGAAAGGGGTAACACTGTCGTTTTTTTGGGGGGTCGAAATTTTTAGTTTCTCTGATCTTCTTGAAACTCTGGATTCTGATAGAGGGCCATGGGACTTAGACCTGAGTGCAAAAATGGAGGCTCTAGACCCTTTCCGAGCTGAGATATTGAGATCCCATTTAGCATTATGCCATTATAAATATCTCAGTATCTCAGCTCTGAATGGGTCTAGAGCATCCATTTTTGGACTCAGGTCTAAGTCCCATGGCCCTCTATCAGAATCCAGAGTTTCAAGAAGATTGGAGAAACTTATTTTTTCGCACACACAAAAAAAAAAAAAAAAAACGACAGGGGTAACACTGTCGTTTTTTTTTTCTTTTTTTTGGTCGAAATTGAGTTTCTCTGATCTTCTTGAAACTCTGGATTCTGATATCCATGGGACTTAGACCTGAGCGCAAAAATGGAGGCTTTAGACCCTTCCAGAGCTGAGATATTGAGATACCACGTAGCATTTATGCCATTATAAGTATCTCAGTTGCTGCATTCCAAACTGCATACTTCCCTACTATTTAGTATGGGGAAAAAGAGTAGGCGAGCGAAAAAGTATGTATGAATCCAAAAGAGTAAGCGAGAATTAGCTTTACCTTTAGTGACGTTCTAATTATCGCGAGATTCGGACACGCATACCTAAAGTGCGTTCAAATATGCCTACTTTCCTACTATATATAGTAGGCGAAAACAGTACGTTCGAAACATCAGTATTCATAAAAGAGTAGGCGTGAAGTTCCCGGATGGCTTACTACTTCCACCCAGATTTTTGAGTGCTTTTCCATGGGTACTCATGATACTCATCATCTATCCCAGGAGGCTACGCGAGAGGATACGTCAATATCAACATCGCGGAGATCAGCAACGCAGGGTTTTCAAATGACAGTAAACACGGTTCCTTGTGTTTAAATCGTATGTGTTAAACTACTATAGAGTAAAGGTTTTAACTGTTGAAGGTGTAAAGAGTTGGACAGTATAGAATAGTTGTGATTTTGCTGTAAACACATCTTTTATTATGTATAGCTGGTTAACAGGGGAGCTCCAGTAAGCACATGTACATTAAGTTACATTTTATATTACGTTTTACATATCTTAAACACGCTTATTTAAAATGTCTATTTACATCAGGAAGGAAAATATTTTACAAGTTTTGCAGGTGAGCACATCCCAACATGAAAAATACATCTGAGTGATGTAACGTTATGTGTGCTATTATGTAGCATAATTCACTGTTGTCAACAAATGTGCTGTAAAGGCAAATAAACCAATCTATAAAGTAACTAAACATGATATATATTTAATTTGTCCCTTATTAGTGTTGTTATATTGAGTAACATTTAAGTTGGATTAAAAGTGAGTTAACACATCAACCTCAGCATGTAGGCTAAATGCAGTGTTGAGCTCATAATGTGAATCTTGCCTGTATGTTACAGGGACAGGAGAACACGTGTGTGTTTATCCGGTGAAGAGAGGCTCATGATGCTGAATGCTGTCATCAAAGGCTTTGAGTGAGTACAGAAATGGATAGAAATTACAACATTTTTCTGAGTCTTGATTTCTGTGCATTTGCTGCAGAGCTTTTGTGGTGGAGCAGGACCTGCAAGGAAAGATGATGGCAGTATTTGTTTGGGAAAAAAAGTTTTGGGGATTTTACTCAAATATAAAATAAGGTTATTTTTAATACATAAATCAAATGACATTGTGCTGGTAAAATGACTGCTTTTGTGTAGTGTTCGTGCATTTTTGTAGGATCTGAAATGTCTGCAGACTGTTGTGAGCACTGAGGATGAGGAGCCCAGAGCTGAATCCTGGAAGTGGTCCCATGGATGAGACCCTCCATCTCTCCATCTGTCCTTATGAGACCCTCTATCGCTCCACCTGCCCTTATTTTCTCAGATTGTGAAGAACAGCACAGCAACAAGCTCTGGGACGAAGGCATGGTCCCCTCTGGTGAATTCATCAGAATAAAGCCGCAGAATGGGAACCGCTGTGTTGAGTCGGCAGTAGGATGTGGTGTTCAGCGCTTGTAAATACATGCTTGTAGTTTGAATAAAGCTTTGTTTCATGTGTTGTTCTCATATATGCATTTGTTTATTGTGATGGTTACTTTTATTTATTCTTTGACTCATTTATTCATGTTTCTTATTGTTGTCAGTATATAAAATATAATTATTTAATTAATGTATGCATTAATTCATTGATGGACTAACAATTGAGATGTTTCACTGCATTTAGCAATATAAATGTATTCATAAATAACTGTCATATGACAAAACAAATTTCATTTTGCTTGTTTTATTAAATTATGTTTTTAGTATGTAAAAAAGTTTTATAATTAAGTATTGGTCAGCATTTAATATTATTGTGGTGTTTAAGTTTTGGGCTGGGTTAACAATCCAATTCCTTCTGAGGTAATATTAATTTTTAAGGAGTGATACTTACACATTTTTTCGAGTATATAATCAACAGTTTTCTCCAAAAGAGATCTTCGAGCAGCTGCCCGTCTCCTTTGAGCAGACATTACAAACACAGAGGGAAACTGTTCTAGGTTATGCTGTCGAGTTCCTGATGTTATGAAGTGTTAGTGCACATGTTGCATATATATTTTAAACTTATTACATACAAGATCATGGAAAGATTACCATAGTTGTATGTAACGATCATAATGACAAAACAGAAAACATAAGGATCATTGGTTTGTGTACATCATAATGTATGTGACTGTCACGAAGTGGTTTTGTGTGTTTTCGTTATTAGTTATTGCCCGTCTATTATTTGTCCCAGGTGTTTCGTATTTCTCACGCCCCCTTGTTATCTTGTCTAGCTCGTTTGTCCTTGATTATTTAAGCCCTGTGTTTCTGCCCTGTCTTTGTTGGTTGTTGAATTTATGTGTGTTACGTTGGTGCTGTCATGATTCTCGAGTCCTGCTTCTAGTCTTGTGTCTTGTTTCAAGTTTGTCATTAAAGCTACACTGCGTTTGGATCCAGCCTATGCTCTGTTTTTCCGCACAGCGTCACATTGACATCATAAAATTATATTTATACACAGGAAAAAACAATAACAAGGCTAAATATCTTCATATTAGTTCTTCATAATACATTAAAAAATGTGGTGTTATAAGTCCGAGGGATGAAACGAGGTAAGTTCATCAAGAAAAAGAGGAAAAATTTAAGGAGAAACTTTTTGGGGTATAACATAAAGAAATGAACAACATATTCAAGAGATGACAATTTTGGGGTTTCTTAATTAAAAAAATATTGCTATAAGAATAACACTGTGGGTCACATTACTAGGGTTTAAAACATAACTTAAATCAACCCTATTTATAAATGTATTCAAAAAATAAATGGGAAGCTGTTTATTCATCAATACCACAAGAAAATGAGCAAGTTTCATGAATATCAAGATATTTATAGATAGATGAATTAAACGTATCCTTCATATATTTTAAGTTGTTGCGCTTGTGATAACGCTTAGTAGGTCACATGATAACGTCAACATGGCAGATGTCCGGTTCTCATTCATACTCAACGAGATTTGGTTATAAAGTACCTACTCTTTTATCGCTCGTTGATTAAGTACTTATCGAAATTAAGTACCTACTCATTAAGTATGCGGTTTGGAACGCAACCAATATCTCAGCTCTTGAAGGGTCTAGAGCCTCCATTTTTGCACTCAGGTCTACATCCCTTGGCCCTCTATCAGAATCCAGAGTTTCAAGAAGATGGGAGAAACTCAAAATTTCGACCAGAAAAAAAACCCCACAGTGGTACCCCTTTTCGTGTTTTTTTTTTGTGCGAAAAAAAATAAGTTTCTCCAATTTTCTTGAAACTCTGGATTCTAATAGAGGGCCATGGGACTTAGACCTGAGTGCAAAAATGGAGGCTCTAGATCCTTCCAGAGCTGAGATATTGAAATATTTATAGTTGCATAAATGCTAAGTGGGATCTCAATATCAGCTCTGGAAGGGTCTAGAGCCTCCATTTTTGCACTCAGGTCTAAGTCTCACGGCCCTCTATCAGAATGCAGAGTTTTGAGAAGATCGGAGAAACTTAATTTTTCGCCCCCAAAAAAAATCGAAAGGGGTACCACTGTCGTTTTTTTTTTCGGGTCGAAATTTTGAGTTTTGATATCTCAGCTCTGGAAGGGTCTAGATCCTCCAATTTTGCACTCAGGTCAAAGTCTCACAGCCCTCAATCATAATCCAGAGTTTTGAGAAGATTGGAGAAACTTAATTTTTCGCCCGAAAACGAAAAAAAACGAAAGGGGTAACACTGTCGATTTTTTTTCGGGTCGAAATTTAGAATTTTGATATCTCAGCTCTGGAAGGGTCTAGAGCCTTCATTTTTGCACTCAAGTGAAAGTCTCATGGCCCTCTATCAGAATCCAGAGTTTTGAAAAGATTGGAGAAACTTAATTTTTCGCTCAAAAAAAAAAAAAAAAACGAAAGGGTTAACACTGTCGTTTTTTTTTTTCGGGTCGAAATTTTCAATTTCGATATCTCAGCTCTGGAAGGGCCTAGAGCCTCCATTTTTGCACTCAGGTCAAAGTTTCGTGGCCCTCTATCAGAGTTTTGAGAAGATTGGAGAAACTTGATTTTTCGCCCGAAAAAAAAACAACGAAAGGGGTAACACTGTCGGTTTTTTTTTTCGGGTCGAAATTTTGAATTTCGATATCTCAGCTCTGGAAGGGTCTAGAGCCTCCATTTTTGCACTCAGGTCAAAGTCTCGCGACCCTCTATCAGAATCCAGAGTTTTGAGAAAATTGGAGAAACTTAATTTTTCGCCCGAAAACGAAAAAAAACGAAAGGGGTAACACTGTCGTTTTTTTTTTTAGGGTCGAAATTTTGAGTTTCGATATCTCAGCTCTGGAAGGTTCTAGAGCCTCCATTTTTGCACTCAGGTCAAAGTCTCGTGGCCCTCTATCAGAATCCAGAGTTTTGAGAAGATTGGGGAAACTTAATTTTTCGCCCGAAAATGAAAAAAAAAACGAAAGGGGTAACACTGTCGTTTTTTTTTCGGGTCGAAATTTTGAAATTTGATATCTCAGCTCTGGAAGGGTCTAGATCCTCCATTTTTGCACTCAGGACAAAGGCTCACAGCCCTCTATCATAATCCAGAGTTTTGAGAAGATTGGAGAAACTTAATTTTTCGCCCGAAAACGAAAAAAAAACGAAAGGGGTAACACTGTCGTTTTTTTTTTCGGGTCGGAATTTTGAATTTTGATATCTCAGCTCTGGAAGGGTCTAGAGCCTCCATTTTTGCACTCAGGTGAAAGTCTCATGGCCCTCTATCAGAATCCAGAGTTTTGAGAAGATTGGAGAAACTTAATTTTTCGCCCAAAAACGAAAAAAAACGAAAGGGGTAACACTGTCGTTTTTTTTTCGGGTTGAAATTTTGAATTTTGATATCTCAGCTCTGGAAGGGTCTAGAGCCTCCATTTTTGCACTCAGGTGAAAGTCTCATGGCCCTCTATCAGAATCCAGAGTTTTGAGAAGATTGGAGAAACTTAATTTTTCGCCAAAAACAAAAAAAAAAACGAAAGGGGTAACACTGTCGTTTTTTTTTCATCGGGTAGAAATTTTGAATTTTGATATCTCAGCTCTGAAGGGTCTAGAGCCTCCATTTTTGCACTCAAGTCAAAGTCTCACAGCCTCTATCATAATCCAGAGTTTTGAAAAGATTGGAGAAACTTAATTTTTCGCCCAAAAACGAAAAAAAACGAAAGGGGTAACACTGTCGTTTTTTTTTCGGGTCGAAATTTTGAATTTTGATATCTCAGCTCTGGAAG